TGCAGAGTTTTGGAAGCTCCATTTCAAGTTTGTCATATAAAGCTATGGCATTTTTATTTTTAATTATTTGGATGATGGTTTGGATTCCTTGCAAAATTTTTGATAACTTTAGCAGTTATTTAAATTCAAATCACCACCAACTTGAAACACAACAAAATGCAATCTTTGTCAAAGTAATTATTATAAAAGCAACAATTAAGATTTACAAAAACTAACCTATTTGTATTATTAACTTTAGAATTTATCAATTATGGAAAAAGATTTTAAAAAACTAAGTCTACAAGAATAATTTAATATATATATATATATACAAGTAACAAAATAATATAACTTACCTTAGTACAAATAGACTTAAATTGTGTTTCAAAATAAACAAGAAATCTGTATAATAAAAAAAAAAAAAAAAAAAAATAATAATAGTAATAATAATAATAGAATATCATATTTCAATCTATTTGATGGAAGAAATACATTTTCCCTGGCCAGGCAAATATATTGTAACATCAAATGATTTTAATATCGAAAATATTTTCAGTATAAGGATACTAAAACATCATTAAATTTTTAAATAAAATATAATAAAATTTTTTAAAAATAATACGTTTATTTTTTATTAAATATAGCTCTTCATGATATAATTACAATTGATAAAATAGTATTGAATAAACTTGGTGATGATTTGCTAAATTGTGTTTTTGAATAAATTTGTTTAAATAAATGTTTCAAATAATGTTTCAGTAGAGTTATTTAACAGTGCCCCAAATAAATATCTAGACCCCCAACTTTATTAAGATGGAAATGATAATTATTGAATTAATAAGTCATATTTAATAGTAATCAAATCGATCTGTAACTCTGTCAAGTTGCTCCTTTAAATATTTGTGTATATCTCAGTAGGGGAATAATACCTGATTTAATTGTTTTTTTATTTCATATTCATTAAAAGCTGTCTTTGGGTGTTGTCTGTGATTCTTTCAAAAATAAACCCCCAATTTTTAGAAAATATCAACACGTTATCACAGCCATTTTAAATTTTTAAAATAAATATTTATTATTAAAAATCTGATAATTTTTTTTTTATTTTTTTATTTATTTTTTTATTTATTTTTTTTATTTTTTTTTTTATTTTTTTATTTATTTTTTTTTAATTTTTATTTTTTTTTCGATGCATCGACAACAAACATACACATAAATAATTTTAATAATGTAAACTATAGCATATCCAATCAATAATAATAATAATTTTAACATACTGAAAATATTTTTAAAACCTTTCGAGAACAAGTAAGTAAATCAATACATTATTTTAAAACAACAACAGCAACAAACCCTTATATATATAGAAAATGGCATCGTTGAAGAAATAGAAACAGAATTACTAACATAAATTAAAATAGCTTTAATCAATATTCAAAAGACAGATTTACCAATTAAAACCATTCAATACCCTTACAGGATCTGCTGTCGTCGATATTATGAATGAAAGGATTTTATTACTTCTCAAAACTAATATCAATAACTCCCATAAAAAGTCACAAAGTCGCAGAAACAAATTCTTTCAAAGTCTTTCAATCTCGAGTAAATCAGATAAAGTAAAATTCAAATCAATTACAAGTTCATGTAAAAATTAAAAAAGTGTTAAAAGATGTACCGTTCAGGTCTTATAGACCCTAGTGTGCACGGTTTTTATGTATGAAAAAAACATTGGCAAAAAAAAGATTAAACTTAGATCCAACTAAATACTAAACACTAATGAAGATATTCAATCTAATCAACTATTTATATGAATCTCAATACATTTGCCTTGGTCAAGTAACAGTTATAGAACACAAATAGTTTAGATAAGGAAAAGGGTAAACTTCAACTTTTAGCAATCAATCAAATAATTCAAAAAATAAATCAAGTATATATTTAAATATCGAATTAAATAAATTTAATAATAGAGCACAATATTTAAATACCCCAATATTAGTATTAACTCAGTAAATCAATAATCAGTCCTCAGTTATTAGAAGCTTTTAAGAAAGCTAGGATTAAACCTTAATGATAATCTATTTATAGTGGTAAATGCAAAAGAGATGGTGGAGCTGATATTTAAATAAGTATAGAGATCAGTTTTCACATGGATCTATACAAAGGTTAAATGAAAGTTTTTGGTACTATATTAAATTTTTCAACACCAGTTCATCTCCAAACAAATGGTCATTCTGTATTAAGCACAACTAAATCACTCCATTTTTCGCAAAATTAGGGTTATGAACCAACTTCTCTATTAACTGCTAACTCACCGTAATTAACAAATCATTAAAGAATTGGGTAAATGATATAAGCTGCTTTCAGAGACAACTTAGAAAACAAATGAACATACCAAGACAATACTCATATAAACGTAGTGCACTAAGACTACCTGAAAAATCAAAACATTAAGAATAAGGCTATTAATCAAGAAAGAAGTGCAGCGTTAGAAATCTTGGTGATTCCCCTCGTTCATCTGGTTCACAATCTGCTTCAAGTGCCTCCACCATTAGGGAAAATGATCAAGTATTAAAAGTAAAATACATTTCATTAGAAAAGCAATTATTTAAAAAAGAAGAGGAGAAGAGAGAACTTTTAGAACAATTAGAATTAGGCAAGAAGGTCTTCAATCCAAAAATCACATAATTAAATCAGAGATTACAATTCTTCAAAATAAATTCAGTTAACAATTTTTCAACACTGGTCATTATACTTCAGTTGGTATATCAGAAGCTTCATTGAGTTCTCGTACTGATAGAGGGGATCAACATTGGTTTCTAAACAAACTGATGAATTCGAAGATAAAGCAGAACAAATAAATCTTTTACAAAGAAATTCATTAAAAGCGGTAGCATCAAATTCATCAAAATCTAATGTTGGTAGTTCAAATGCAGGTGCTAATAGTTCACCAATCATCTCATTGAATACTTCAGAAGAAATCAATGGTAATAGAATCAAAGAGATTGAATATGAATTTGAAAGCTATAGAATTGCAAAAGAGAATTTAGCAATGGAGACAGTTATTAGAAAGCCAAAGAAATAGCAGTATTTTTGTTACAGATCCAAGAAATCTCGATGACGAGCTTCCAATTTATATGATGATACAAGCTGAACAACTTAGAAAATTAGAGATGTCTGACCCAAAAGGTTCATTTGGAAACAGTTTGAAATCAGAAATTGATAAAATAAAGAAATTACACATCCTAAAGAGGCAACATATTATTGGTTTAAATAAATAAATAAATAAATAAATAAATAAATAAATAAATAGATAATTTAGCAACTATTAAAGAGAATGAATCTAAATTAGCAATTAATCATTTAAACCGTGTAACAAGAGTTTTTAGATGTGGCAGTGCATTTAACATCAATTTCATCAGGTTCTCAAAATAGCCAATCACCATTCGTTAGTTAGTGCCAATACTAATAATGCCATTGCTTTATTCTCATATAATAATATATTTCATCCTTCTACTGGCATCTCCCACCATTCTTTCAACTTTATAAATGCAAACTTATAATCAGACTTACCTAGTACTAGAACTGTTCAAGTATATAGATGTTATTTATTCATTGTGGAAAATTAAAACATCTGCAGATTCCAACTTATACTCATATCTTTAATTAAATAAAAATATGCAAGACAAAGAATAAATCAAGCTAACAACCACAATTTAATAAGACACCATCTTCATTATTAGCTAAAGGTGAATATTAGAATATGACCTACCCGAAATCTTTTCAGTATTAGGTTCTGAAGCATCATCAAAACAGGATTTTAGCAATCAATCAAATAATTCAAAAACAATCAAGTATATATTTAAATATCAATAATCAGTACTCAGTTATTAGAAGCCTTTAAGAAAGTTAATAGTAAAACATTTTATAATAATTAATAGTTAAAAATCAATATAGTGCCAAACCAAAGGCAGTCCTCATCAAGCAATAACAGTAAAACCCAAACATCACCAAATTCGACTTATTATAATACAATTTATAAAACGCCTTACGTTTTTCAGTAATAAAACACCTTACTTTTTTCAGGACCATCATTAATAAGTTCACTTATCTTTTCATAACCATTAAAAACTATAATAAAACATAAAAATATTATTTACCGATAATTTAAAGCATTTGCTTTAAAAAATCTTACTTTTAAAAAAAAAAAAAATTTATTTTATTTAGAATTTATATTTGATGGATCATTGACTGATTATGGTAAACCTGCCCTAGATTGAAGATTTAAATTTTTAGGAGGGTGTTTTAATAATTTTTCTTTTTCAATACGTTCTTTATCTATTCTTTCTTTTCTTTCTCTATTTAATTTCTCATCATTGTCAAATTTTTTTTTTTTTTTTTTATTACTATTTCTTAAAATGAATGTTGTAGATTCTGGTGCTGCTGTTGTTGTATTGTTATTACTTTTACTATTTTTTAAACTGAATGCTAATGCTACTGTTGTATAATTATTACTATTGTATGCTTCTATATTATCTAAAGAGTATGCACATTCTAATAAATCAAACATGTGTAGCTGTTCTCTTTTCTTTTCTGTATAGTAAAATAATTAAATTTGCATCTATATTAGTCTCTAAAAAAAGCTTTGTCTCTAGATTTTATTAATATATTCATCTGTCTGTATTACATATGTTTACTTTATAACAACAATCAATTAGTCTAAATGTTATTACCCCTTACTTTTAATTTAATTTCTAATTAATTCCATAATTTTCTTTTTACCTTATAGCAGCCCAATGATCTTATGTTAAAATTTAATTGAATTAAAGTAGAATTGGTTTATTGCGGTTGAGGCTGCTGTGTGAATGTTGGGTATTGAAATTGGTCATGGGTTTTGATGAATAGTTTTTGCATACTGGTGTTTGTTCTATCATTTTAATACAAGATAAAAATAGTATTTGGTTATAAATAAATCTTATAAATAAAATAATTGAAAAATGAAAAAAAAAAAAAAAAATTTTAATTTTTTTTTTTTTATTTTAAAATTTAATTTTTTTTTAAAATTTTATCCATAATTAAATTTGATATTTTTTTAATATCTGATAAAATTTGATTAAAAAAAAATATCAATAAAGAAAAAAAATAAATTAAAAATTTAAATAATAAAAAAAAATTATGTGTCAGTAGATTTTATAATTAATTTTTAAAGTTAATAAAATTAAACAAATACCATTATTTAATTTTATTTATTTTTATTTATTTATTTTTTTTTTTTTATACTATTAGCCACTCTTTGTAAAGAGTGTTTCCAGCTCAACCACGGGGAGGTTAGTATATTTGAGCCGACAGCTAACTATTATACCGCCACGCACAGTATAATAATTAGCCCTTGGTTCGATAATCTCAGAATACAGATACCAAGCGGGCCTGGTACCTATACCATCAATATACCAAACCAGCCTTGATTCTTCATACTTGATAGCCTTGAATTTTCTTGAAAGTTTGGTAAATCTCAGAATACAGATACCAAGAGGGCCCAACCTGATACCTATACCCATCAATAAACCAAACCAGCTTTGATACTTCATTTTCTTGAATCTTCATACTTGCTACCTTGAATCTTCTTGATAAAGAACACATTATTTAGTTTTGATAAGGGAACTATGTATGGTGAACATTTTATTTAGCTCTTTTTCTTGAATCTAATTCTTTAATAATCTTTGAAATATTGATAACCTATAATATTTATTTTTTTATTAATTTTTATTTTTTTAAACAAAAAAGGTATTAATTTTATGAAATAAATAAAAAAATATTTATAAAATTACAGAATTTGATAAAAAATTTTAATTGTTATTTGTTTTATTTTTGTTTATTATTATATGAATAAATAAATAAATAGTTCAAAATAATAATTATAATTAATATCTATGCCATTCACCTGTCAGTTTTTTAAAGAGGTCCACATTCAATAATATATGATTTGATATATGCCCGGGCATATATCCATATATTAAAGAAATATGGTTTAAAAAACGGAGGATTACCACGATGCCAAACACTATGTGAATGTCACACCCCTGTTCCCTTATGGGCCATTGATTAGGTATACTTTGACATAAATAAATAATTAATTATTATTATTTTGTTTACTATTTATTTAATATTTCATTTATTTATTATTATATTTATTATTATATTTATTATGATTAATTTTTTTTTATTTTATACAAAAAATTTATAAAGAATATTTTTTGAGTAAAAAATAAAAATATGTAAATTTAAAAATGTGTTGTAAAATTATGGGGCATCTTTTTATAGGATTTTTTAAAACACATATTACCGCCATATTTATTTTTAAAATTCAAATAATTTTATAAAATTTTTCCCAATTTTTTTATTTATTTTTATTTTTATTTTTTTTCAACACACAACAAACACACCCACAAATAATTTTAATAATGTAAAATATATTACACCAAAAATAATAATTTTAACATTAGCGAAATATATTTAAAACCTTTTTAGAACAATTTAGAAATCAATACATTATTTTAAAACAACAACAACAATAATAATAACAACAAACCCACACACATAAAAATTAGCATCGTTGAAGAAATATAGAAAATAGACCCAGATCCACAAACATAAATTAAATTAACTTTTATTAATATTCAAAAGACAGGTTTATTTGTATATATTAATATTTTTTAATATAAATAAATATTTTTTTTTTTAAATATAAATAAAAAAGCTTAAAATTATTTCTGCTTTATTTTTATTTTTTATTTTTTAAAAAATTTTATAATTTTTAAGTATTATTATTTGATTCTTTTATTTAAATTATTAGGGCACGGTAACTTCAATTCGTGTGTGATTCGGAAACTTGAGAGACTGTTATATTATTTTTATTTATAAAAAATTTATAAAATCAATTTTTTTAGTTTAATAGCTTTTTTTTTTTTTTTTAAAATTTGTATATAATAGCATTCTTTTTTATGATTAATGAATAAATTATTAATATCATTATTATTATTGTGTGTGCAGAAATACAAAAATTAATTATTTTTTTTTATTTTTTTTTATTTTTTTTTTATTATTATTGAATTATAATAAAGAATCTATAATTTCTTTTAGTAAATATAAGAGATTATAACAAAACTGGGAGTGGCACGAGTGGCTGGAGTATCTCTTGTGGGCAGTTTCTAAAGCTTCTATATTTTTCATACCAACACGTTCCAATAATCTCTTCTAATTTCTAACCCGATTCGAGGTAAGGTTGGGTTGCTTTTAAGGATATTTTTATTTTTTTTTATAAAACTAATCATTAAATTAATAATATAAAATTATTTCTTTAATTTAGTTTCAAAAAACATACAAATAATCAATTTAATTAATTTTTTTTTTTTATTTTTTTAAAATCATTTTTTTACAATGAAAAAGTTAGTTTAATGTTTTGGGTATCATTTAAAAGAGAATTAAATAAAAAATCGAAATCAAATAAAAAAAATGATCAATCTATAATATAAAAAAAGATATAAACTAAATTATTGCTTTACAAATATTTTTTTAATTATTTTCTTTATTTTATAAAAAAATTAAACAATTCTTTCTTTTTAAAAAAATAAAATTTTTTTTGAATTTATTTTTTAATATTTTTATTATTTTAATTTTTTTTTTTTTTTTTTTTGAAATAAAAAAAAAAATTTTATTTTTTTTTCTTTATTTATTTTTATCCCCCCAATTAATAGCTTTTTTTTTACGATTTTTCCAACACAAAAAAGATTTTTTTTTTTTTAAAAATTTTAATAAAAAAAAATTCCCCCCCTTTTTCCAAGATTTTATTTTTTCCACGCTTTTCCTTTCCCTTAAATATTAAAAA